AGGATGCCTGTAGTAAGCCGTTAATCAGCCAGGATCACATGCTAATGAGTTGGTTGCGCAACAACCAAATTCAATGAGCGAAGCGATCGTGCAGCTTCGTGAAAAACCGATTCTGGGGCTTGGGGGGTCGCGGGGGGGGACCGTCCATATATGTATAGAGCCTTTCAACATGATTCGTTCTCTTTTGTCCCCCCATTTGTGTGTGTGTGTGTCTCTCTCTCTCTCTTGTGCTTCTCTCTGCTGTCTGTCTGTCTGCCCGTGTGTCCATCTGTCTGCCTGTCGGTCTGTCTGTCCGCCTGCCTGTCTGTTTCTGTTTCTGTCTGTCTGTCTGCCTGCATGCCTTCCTGCCTGCCTGTCTGTCTGTGCTTCTTTCTGTCTGTCTGTCTGTCTGTCTGTCTGTCTGTCTGTCTGTCTGTCTGTCTGTCTGTCTGTCTGTCTGTGTGTCTGTGTGTGTTTGTGTGTGTTTGTGTGTGTGTGTGTGTCTGTCTGTCTGTCTGTCTGTCTGTCTGTCTGTCTGTCTGTCTGTCTGTCTGTCTGTCTGTCTGTCTGTCTGTCTGTCTGTCTGTCTCGGCTCGCTTCTCGTTTCTCGTCTCGTATCTCGTTTCTCTCCCTCTCTCTCCCACTCAGTCTGTATCGGCTCGTTTCTCGTTTCTCGTCTTTCGTATCTCGTCTCTCCCTCACTCTCCCTCTCCTCCTTCTTCTCCTGCTCCCTCCTCCTCCCTTCTCAACCTTCTTCCCCCTCCTCCTTCCACCCGCCCTCCTCAGCCTCCTCCTTCCTCCTCCACCTCCTCCTCCTCCTCCTCCTCCTCCTCCTCTTCAATCGCTCCCTCGTTTCCTCCCTCGCTCCCTCCCTCCCTCGTCCCCACCAGTGTTCAACCGGGGCGAGGGGCGGCGGCCATGGTACTGCCTCCGGGCCTGGAACGTGTCCGAAGATGGACCCGGAAGAGCTGGAGCGCGCCCTCCGCGCGCCTGCTTTCCCTCCGACGCGCCAGCGGGTTGCAGCCAGCAGTAGTTGGGGAGGCAGGAATTTGCTCTCCCCCTCGTATCCCTCCTCCTCTCCCTCGTCTTCCTCCTCTCCTCCTCCTCCTCCTGTCCTCCATCCTCCTCACACTCCACTCTTGCCCTCATACTCCCTCCTGCGATCCTCCTCATTTATCCCTCTCCCTCTCCACCCACCTAGTCCTTGTCTTCCTCCTCGTAGCCTAGTCGATGTGGGCACACGGGGACATTCCCGAGGGCATTCTTCCCCCCCTCCTCGTCATCTCTCCTTACTCCTCCTCCTCCTCCTCCTCTCTCCTCTCTCCTGCCTCCTACTCCTCCCTCCATTATTAATCCTCTTCCTCCTCCTCCTCCTCCTCTCCTCCCCCGTTGCCTCGGTACGTGTTACCGTGAAATTGTATCGTTCCATTTTCCACTCCAGACATCCGCGCTGAGCGCATTGACTAGTCGAACGGCCTTTGGTTGTTGCGCCCTCTCTTGACGCCTCCTCCTCCTCCTCCTTTTTCCCCGCTCCAGAGGCACGGACACAAGCCAACCCATTCATCTACCTTTGTGGATGCACGCAAAAAAGCGGTGACCCCCTCAACGAGTGCCAGACGTAGCCTGCCGCTGAGCCGCAAGAAGCAGGCGGTTCAAAAAGGGAGCAGGACGGCAGCTTTGAAAAAGCACCAGGACGTTGGAGTTCGAGTTCGTGTCAGTGCAGTCCAGACCGGTCTGTCGGTTCGGAGGGCCATTGATCTGGTTGGAATACCATTCTTCTCTCTCGGTCAACCGACCAGCCTACCAGTCCTGGCCAGGCCGATCCTCGTCGTGGCGCACGTAGACCCTGGAGGTGGCCTTACATATTGGCTGTCCCTGTTTTGCGAAGCCCCTCAAAACTGCAGCGCGTTTTCTTTCTGAATCGGTTGACCTGGGTCCGCGCTGAGCCTGGCTATTCCACGCCCGACCTGGGCCCTCGGCGGTGCTGTCGATGATCCGCAGAACGCGTGTTGGCCCAGCGTGTGTCTCCTGCCGTGCCATTCCACCCATGGCGCACGACCTGCGCCGGCCCTGACTACCTCGCCCAGGTCGCGTCGAAGGGCCTCGGTGGAGAAGCACCCGCCGGCGCCAACACACATTCCCAGAGATCCGATGTCGTGATTTTTTCAATACGGGGTCCCCGGAAGTCTCGACCCATTCCCCAGGACCGGTTTTTCATTCTGAGTCGTTTTTTGACGGCCCCGAGGCCCGGCGAGGGCCCCTAGGGGCCGAAATTTGAGAAAAACCTCCGTCTTGATTTTTTCAATACGTTGGATCTCTGGGTTCTGAGCATCATCGGTCCTGGGCCACCGACCGCCCCACCGACCCCGGCCGGCTCGGTGCACGCCCGCCCGCCGGCGCCCCCGCCCCTCGGCGAGCCGGCGAGCTCCCGCGGGGCCGAGGCCCGGCGGCCGCCCCCCCGCGGGGGCGCCGGGCGCGCAGGCCAGGGCGGGCCCCCGCTCGGGGCAGCCCCGCGGGCGGCCCTCGGCCTCGCCCATCACCACTCACCAAACCACCCCAACCCAACCAAAGGCCTCAATTTACCCTCCATTTCGAGTTTGGGGGGGGGGGTCGGGGAGCACTGCAAAAACACCTGGAACCCGTACCCCCCCCCCCCAGCCCGAACTTCGGGTCCACTTCGGCTCTTCGGGTCGGGTTGGGGTGGTCTGGTACAGGTGGTCACTCCAGGCGTGGGGGGGGCCACCAGGGCAGCGCCCTCGCGAGGGGCCCCCCGGGGGCCCACAGGCGCGAGGCGCTGCAGCAAAAGGCCGCCTCGGACTCGGGCCTCGGGCCCCGGGCTGCCGGGCCGCGCCGCGCACCCGGGCCGCCGGGTCGGAGCCCGCCCGTGGCCGCACCTCGCCGCGGCCTCGCTCGGCGCTCCCGCGGGCTGCGCCGGGGACGGCGCCGGCCCCCCGGGGGCCGCCCGCCCGGGGGCGCTTCGGAGAGGGCCCGAGGCGCGGCTCGGCGCGCTGCGGAGGGCTGCAGCGCGGCCCTCGGGGGCTGCTCCGCGGGCGGCCTCGGGCCTCGCCCGACGGGGAAGCCCGCCGGCGCGAGGAGCGCCCGTCCAGGCCGCCCAGAAGGCTTCCGTCCTGAGGGCCATCGCCTTTTTGCCGTCATGGACAGGCGCTTTTTCAGCACTCTACTTTTCTGCCTCTGAGTTTTCCTCCGGAATGCCAGCGTCAGCAGGTTCATTGGCAGACGCTTCATCAAAATGGCGCTTTTCTTCTCCAGGCGTGTGTGCTGAGGTGCAGCGTCTGTTTCACATTCGGTACGGCCAGAGTAGATGGAGACCGACCTTCTCCATCCCGACGTGACGGTTGCATCGCCGTCGCGTGGGCGATGCGGTGTGATCTTCTGGCCCCAAATTGCTCGGACCCCATTTGGGCGGCCTCCATATCTATTTGGGTGCCCCAGGTCTTAGCCGACCCTGGGACCACTGCAGCCGGACGTTGCTAGGCAGCGAGCAGCAGGTAGTCAGGCAGGCCCAGGATGAGGATCATTCGGTCCAGGGCGTTCGGGAACGTTCTCGGAGCGTTCTGGAGCGCTCGGGAACGGCTGCGGCGCCCAGTCTGTTCTCCAGACTCGCGGCTCAACGAGATTCCCGATCATCCGAATCTGTCCTCGTCCTGCCCTCGTCCTGGGCAAGCGGGCCAGGGTTGCAGGGGCCAGGCTGCCAGCGTTCTGGTCGGGAACACTGTCTGCATGCTGGTGATTCGTTGCCCCTTCCCCGGGACTCACCCTCTTGATATCCTCTCCTTTCGGGAGGCTGCCAGCCTGGAAGTCTCCCGCATGATCTCAGAAGGCCCCAGAAAGTGCCAAACAACGTTTCAAGCAAGCGTATCCTGCCTCCTCGCTCCTCCTGGCCCCTGTCCCTGGCCGCTCTCCGAACCGCGCCCGACCGTAACGTCGATGTCGTCTTGCTGTCTCTCTTTTCTCCTCGACTTGGCGCCGAGCAGGGGAGGCGGTCGTCGTCGTCGTCGTCGTCGTCGTCGTCGTCGTCGTCGTCGTCGTCGTCGTCGTCGTCGTCGTCGTCGTCCCCGTCCCTGTCCCCGTCCCCGTCCCCGTCCCCGTCCCTGTCGTCCCCGTCGTCGTCGCCGTCGCCGTCCCGCGGAGAGGAATGGCTCTACGTGGACCGCAGTGGCGCGGAGTTCGGGCCGTGCCTGGCGTTTTCTCGCGCTGCAGAAGACAGTCGGGTCGGACGAAACGGGGGGATCGGGAATGGGGGAGCTGCGAAATCTGCCGCATGCAGCTGGTTTTGGCCCCGCCGCCAGACGCTGTCCTCCATGCATTGGCGACCCTGGCGCACGAAAAATCACATGTGCAAGCTGGTCCGCTATTCCCCCTTTTGCTAACCCACCCTTTCGTCCGACCCGGACACCGTCGCCGTCGCCGTCCGTCGCCGTCGCCGTCGCCGCCGCCGCCGCCGCCGCCGCCGCCGCCGTCGTCGTCGTCGTCGTCGTCGTCGTCGTCGTCGTCGTTGTTGTTGTCGCCGTCATCACCATCATCACCATCATCGTCATCGTCTTCATCATCACCACCATCATCACCATAATCATCATCATCAGCAGCATCAGCATCAGCATCAGCATCATCATCATCGTCAGCATCAGCATCATCATCATCATCGTCATCATCATCATCATCATCATCATCATCATCATCATCATCATCATCATCATCATCATCATCATCATCATCATCATCAACATCACATCATCATCATCATCACCAGCATCATCATCATCGTCGTCGTCGTCGCCCTCGTCATTGTCATCGTCATCGTCGTCATCATCACCGTCGTCATCATCATCATCATCATCATCATCATCATCACCATCACCATCACCATCACCATCACCATCACCATCACCATCATCATCATCATCATCATCATTATTATCATCATCATCATCATCATCATCATCATCATCATCATCATTATAATCGTCATCATCATCATCATCATCATCATCATCGTCATC